CAGGGAAATGCAAATCAAAGCCTTGATATCACTGCATGCCTGTCAGAATGGCTATTATCAAAAAGACAACAAATCACAAATGTTGGCAATGATGTGGAGAAAAGGAAACTTTTGTACACTGTTGATGAGAATGTAAATTTGTAGTTACTATGAAAAACATTATAGAGATTTCCCCCCTAATTAAAAATTGAGTGACTATGTGATTCAGTAATTCCACTCCTGGGTATTTATCTGATCAAAATGAAAACATTAAGTCAAAAAGATATATGCACCCCTATGTTTATTTCAGCATTGTTTACAATATCCAAGATACGGAAGCAAACCAAGTGTCCATCATTGGATGAATCGATTAGCATGGTGTTGTTTATGTATAAAGTGAAATATTACTCAGCCATAAAAAAGAATGAAATCTTTTCCTTAGTGAGAACATGGATGGACCTAGAAGGGTATTATGCTAAGTGAAATAAGACAGAGAAAGATAAATAATATACAAGTGACAAATGTGGAATCTACACAGCAAAGGGAATGAGTACACATAACAAAACAAAAACAGAGTCATAGATTCAAAGACAAACAGGAGGTAGCCAGAGGGAGGGGGTTAGGGAAGGATAGAAATACATGAGGGAGATTAAGAGGTACAAACTTTCAGTTGTGAAATACAGTCAATAACTATGTAATATCTTTTTATGGTGACAGATGGTAACCAGACTTATTGTGGTGGTCATTTCAAAATGTATAGAAATATTGAATCACTATGATGTGTACCAAGAACTAACATAACATAGGTCAATTACACTTCAAAAAACAAAAAGAAGCAAACAAACAAACATACTCACAGAAAAAGAGATTAGACTTGTGTTTACCAGAGGAAGGAGGTGGGAGGAGAGGGAACTGAATGAAGGCAATGAAAGGGACAAGCTTCCAATTATAAGATGAATTAAGTACTAGGGATGTAATGTACAACATGATAAATACAATTAACACTGCTGTACGTTATACACGAAAGTTGTTAAGAGAGCCAATCTTAAGAGTCCTCATTACAAGAAAAATTTTTCTATTTCTTTAATTTTGTATGTATATAAGGTGATGGATATTCCCTAAACTTGTTGCGGTAAACATTTCATGATATGTGTAAGTCCAATGATAATGTTGTGCAACTAAAACTTACACGGTGCTGCCCCTCAATTATATCTCAATAAAACTGGAAAAAACATTAAAATATGAATTTAGTGTCTGTATCCTGTTCTAGATGATAAACCACTTGAAGGAAATGTCTTAACCTATTAAATCATATTTGTTGAACTGAACAGTTTAGATATGGATTTTAACTAAAAATTAAATTAAACTGCGAGACACCACCAAAAATATGTATAACCATTAAGTGCCTTCCCTCTTGCTGATAATTATTGGAAGAACCAAGGAAATCTTCAGGTATGTTAAAAATATGTGTTCCTTAATTTAAAAAACTTACATCTTCATAACACAGATAATGAATATAAAATTGTACTGGGGAGACTCAATATGTTTGATAATCAAAGTTTTGATTAAAAGTTTTGATTTTCTATATGAAAAGAACCTAATTCATTCTTGACAAGAAATCTCTCAAAGGATTATGGTATAAATATCTTATAAATATCTACAGATTTTAATTGTAAGGTGTTAAAGTTTTGTTTTCAGAGCTAATGTCAAAAATGTTTCCTCTTACAGAAATTCTCTTGACTAAACTTAGGGAAAAGAAATTGCACAGTCAACTTCAGACATTCCTCTTGCAAATTACTTTATATATCTGAATATATTAAAAATATTAAAAATATTAAAAATAACTTAAGTTCTTACTTCTCATG